CGCCCACCACAACGCCCGGCTATTTTTGTTGTTGTTGTTGCAGTGGTTTAGCTGGCCCAGGCTGGGTTCAAACCCGCCACCCTCAGTGTATGTGGCTGGCACCATAACCACTGCACTACAGGTACCAAGCCTAGAATCAGTATCTTTATACTTTTAGTAACTAGTCCATTTTTTTAAATTACTGTCTAATAAGAAATTTAGTGTTAAAATACTTACTTTTTTTTTTTGCCTTGGTGTTAGCGTAAATCACAGCAACCTCAAACTCCAGGGCTCAGGCAATCTTCCTGCTTTAGCCTCCTGAGTAGCTGGGACTACAGGCACCTGCCACAACACTTGGCTAGTTTTTTCTATTTAGTAGAGATAGGGATCTCACTCTTGCCCAGGCTGATCTCCAACTCCTGAGCTCAAACGATCCTCCTGCCTTGGCCTCCCAGAGTGCTGGGATTATAGGTATGGCTGAGATTACAGCCAAAACAATTATTTTGTTATATCTTATGAGTATGTTTCCAGAATTAAGTGAAGGCCTGGCTTAATGTGATTTTTCTAGTTCTCAAAGATAATTTGGTGTATTTTGTCAGTAGACTGGTCTGAAGGGTCCAAGTTGGTCTCAGCTATCCTGGCAAGTGTAGCTAGAGGGCTGGGCTAAGCTGGGTACCTCTTCCTCTTTGTATGGTTTCAGATTTATTTTATGTACTCTCTCAATCAAAGTAGTCTGACTTTTTATATGATGGCCCAGGGCTCACAAATGCTAATGTGAAAGCTGCATGTACTCTTAAAAGCTAATCTCAAATGACACCCTATCACTTCTGCCATACTTTGATTGGTCAAAGCAGTCACCGCCCCACCTAGATTCGAAGGGAAGAGAAACACCCCACTTGTCAGTGGGAAGAATGTTAAAGAATTTGCAGGGGCGGCGCCTGTGGCTTAGCTGGTAGGGCACTGGCATATACTGAGGGCGGCAGGTTCAAACCCGGCCCCCGCCAAACTGCAACAATAAAATAGCCGGGTGCTGTGGCAGACACCTATAGTCCCAGCTACTCGAGAGGCTGAGGCAGGATACTGGCCTAAGGCCAGGATCTGGAGGTTGCTATGATCTGTGATGCCACAGCACTCTACCAAAAGCAATAAAGTGCAACTCTGCCTCAAAAAAAAAAAAAAGAATTTACAGCTACCCTTAATCTGCCATGGTTTACTCTCTGATCAAAAATTATTTATATTCCTTCCACATGCAGAATACTCATCCCCTTGTCAAAGTCCCATCTCATTATAACGTTAGCTCAGACTCTAAGATGATGTTATCAAAATCAGGCCTATGTGCAGATGGGAGTTTTTGGCTACCCTTCTTCAGGCACAGTTACTCTCAATCTGAAGACCTGTGGGGAAAAAAGGTAGTTTTACTTGTCATTCATGTCCCTAACACATACTAGTGAACCAGGCACAGAGCCTCCTTTTCAGAAACATAGCAATCATGGTCCATAGGAATTCTGACATCCAGCAAGCAGGAGCACAGTCAGCTTCCCATGTGCCAAAGGTGCTCAGGGCTCTTCTCTGCTCAGTATCTACTTTCAGATAGTAAAAAGTGAGTAAGTAAAAAGTGAACCAGCCTGAAAACAAGGGTAGCTCCTTGATTGTTAATTACTCCAGGTTCTAAGAAAATAGAACTTTAGTTATGTTCTCAATATCATTGTGAAAGTCCAGGTAATCTTTTTTTTTTCATTTTTGGTCTTAGATTTTAAAGATTAAAATTTCATTTCAGTTACTAATCAGTGATACCGTAGTACCTCAGATACATTTTTTTCTTTAAGGTAGCTTTTATATTTTCTTTAAACTGATTTATTTATTATTAAAATTTAAGTGAAGAGAAAATTTTGCATAATGGGAACAATAGTGTGTACCATATTTCTTTTTATTTTTTACTTTTTGGTTCTTTTATAGAGATAGCATCTTGCTTTTTGCCCAGCCTGGAGTACAGTGGTGCAATCGTGGATCACTGTGACCTGGAACTTTTGGGCTGAATGATCCACCCACCTCAACCTCCCAAGTAGCTAGACATGTATACACCACCACACCACACCTAGATAATTTTAATTATTTAGAGATGGGATCTCACTATGTTGCCTGGTCTCAAACTTTTGGCCTCAAGCTGTCCTCCCACCTTGGCCTCCCAATCTGTGCCAGGATTATAGATATGAGCCACAGTACCTGGCCCACTATTTCTTTTGAGTATTTTTGTTACAGAAAAAAGGAAGAGTCTGTTATTTCAGAAATGGGTTAAATGGAGACTTAACATAATAACAAGATTAGAGACCTCTGGGTAAAATATTTAATTTTGTCTGTTATAATTAACATATTAGCCTAAAACTAGGTAGTGATAAGTTATAGAAAGTTTATTTAGTCTTCTCTCAACAAATTTTGGTTTGAGACATGTTTCTTATTGTATTGATGCTTCACAGAACCTGATGATTTGGAGGCAGAAGTTCTACAGGAGCCAAGTGAAACAAACAGAAATGAACGCTTGCCATGCCCTGTTACCGATGTGTGGATAATTGAGGAAAAACAAACAAAGCAAACTGAGTGTGTTACGTCTTTTTCTTAGATTTCTAAATCCAGGACCCTTTTGTAATCCTTATTTAAAAATAATATGGTTTTAGGGGTAGTGCCTGTGACTCAAAGGAGCAGGGTGCTGGCCCCACATTCCAGAGGTGGTGGATTCAAACCTGGCCCCAGCCCAAAACTGGAAAAATAATAATAATAAAAATATTGTTTTTTGTTCAGGTCGAGTAAAAAAAAATACTGTAAGAATCTAATAATATAATATCCTAATATTGTAAAACCTGTAAAAATAATTTAATGTTTAATAGATATTCACATGGCTCAAAAATCAACAAACATACAAAGTATATGAAGATACACAACAGAGAGTCCTGCTTGCCCCCATCTAGCCTTTTCTTATTTCCTCTTCCTTGACATGTTTTTAATATATACACAAGCAAAAGTAAATACAAGGTCTGCCTCCTTTTTAAATATAGTTGTTAGTATATATACATAGTATTTTCCACCTTGTTTTACTTGTAGTCAATAATCTGAGAAATTTTTTCATATTAGTAGGTAAAAGTCTTCTATTTTTCTTATTTTATAGCTACTTAGTATTCCATGTGGATATACCACAGTATATCAAATAGAAAACTCAGTAAGACATTTTGAGGGGGTGATTCTGACACAATCTTACTTTGTTGCCCAGAATAGAGAGCTGTGACATCATAGCTCACAGCAACCTCCAACTCTTAGGCACAATCAGTCCTCCTGCCTCAGCCTCCTGAGTAGCTAGGACTACAACACCAGATGGTTTTTCTATATTTAGTAGAGGCAAAGTCTCTCTCTTGCTCAGGCTGATCTTGAACTCCTGGGCTCAAAACAATCCACCTGTGTTGGCCTCCCAGAATGCTAGTCAGTTGTGAGCAACCATACTGGGCCTGACGTTTAGATTTTGAAGGGAAAAAATATATATATTGTTTGATTAAAAACCAATAACTTAAAAAGTAGGAAATTGTTTAAAAATTGAAACAAAAAATA